CAAAACCAGGAGCCCCTAGTAGCGTCCTTGCTCCTAGTAGCGATGCCCTTGTTACTAGTAGCTTCTTGCTCCTAGTAGTAAGGCCAGGAGCCCCTAGTAGCGTTCTTGTTCCTAGTAGCGATGCCCTTTGCTCCTAATAGCTTCTTGCTGAAAACGGTGATACCAAAGTTGTTTTTTAAGCTTCGCCTGGTAGTCGTCCCCACCCCAAAATTGGACGTCTTTTGCTTGGTCTTTGTATGGGATATGATGCTTGTGCACACCAAACCGGTCACATTGCAGGCCCAGCAGCTCATGGGGAAAAAGGACAGCCAGGGAATGTCACGGTTTGTGGCTGTGGCTCATTGGTTCTCGGATTTTGAAACGCCCGCTTTCTTGATTGAATAGTGATGGCCTCCAACCTAAAGCCGACCTGCGGGCGACTAGTTCGCTAGGAACAGGAAGCAGGATAGCGCATGCTTCCTTGAAGAAGCACTCGCACGAATCGAATTCACTTTAAGTTCTAAGAGCAAGTTGAATTCGATTTTGGATCCTCTCTCATTGGCTGCATGGTTTTGCCAGTGTTCTTCTCAGGACAAACAGAAGCGAAAGAGCAGCAGTCGAAGTCGGAGTCGCAGGAAGGAGAAGAAGGAGAAAAAGAAGAAAGAAAAGAAGCTCAAAGAAGACAGAGTAAAAAAGAAGAGAAGCGAACCAAGTGAGACTTCCTCATCAAAAGGCCTTCCACTGGTGGAGAGGAAGGTTGCAAAACTGATTCACGTTGAGAACGTGCTGTGACTTTTATGGAGCTTTGTTGAAGTAACTTCTTGCAGTCAAAAGGTTTCCTTGCCTTTTCCATCTGATACATGAAATGTTGGATTTTGACAATATGTTATGTTGTTAATGCTACTTTTAAGGGTGCCAGTTATCATTTTGTTTGCACCACCCAGCTCTTTGAGGCTAGTATATACAGCAGATCACCCTGCGTGCTAGTATTGAAGTTCAAATTTGCAAGCATGACCTGGTTATGTCTGTATGTTTCGACCAAGCAACGTGGCTCAGGCGATTACTTGTACCTGGTATGTAGAGGTATCCATCCGAAAAACCAGCCATGCTCAGACTCCAGTCCCTTTTTCAAAGGAACCTAAGAGCGATCGCCTCCACACTAGAAGCGATGGCCTCCAACCTAGAAGCGAGGGCATCCAACCTACTAGCGATGGCTTCCAACCTACTAGCGACGGCCTCCAACCTATTAGCGATGGCCTCCAACCTATAAGCGATCGCTTCCAACCTACTAGCGATCGCTTCCAACCTAGAAGCAATATGAAGCAATGGCCTTCAACCTACTAGCGACGGCCTCCAACCTACCAACCTACTAGTGATCGCTTCCAACCTACTAGCGACGGCCGCCAACCTAATCGCGAATTTGCAATTCTTGGTCAAAGGCAGAGTGAAAGCAAAGGATTCTGAGAGTGAAGACGAAGCTCCGAAGCCGAAACTGCAAGAGGCACGAGAGGCACATGCGCCATCTGCTACGCCAGCGCACACAGCGCCATCTGGTCCAGTGGCACAGTTAGATGTTCCACTCATTGTCAGTGGTTGCCAGAACCAGACCATTAGTGAAATTGTGAAGGGCAGTTATTTCCGCCATGGAAGCAATCACGGAAAGCCCGTCTACAAGAAGAAGCGGGAGGAAAACGTCCAAGATGATGAAGATGATTTGGATGTTTTGATTTACTTCTGGGATGAGCGAGATGGCGATGAAAACTGCGGCTGGTGGTTTAGCCCCAGCGTTGGTGGCGAAATGGTTTGGGCATACCATCCAAGTCGCAAGGCCTGGGTCGAAGCATTACATGTTGCACACTGAAGCATATTGAAGCAGGTATTCAAGCGATCGATGTTAAAAGAGAGATTGCGATACATAAGTTTGTGTAATAATTTGGTGAAACAACATGGAACATGTGTGAACATTGCTGCTCATGTTGTTTGCCAGGCTACCACCCCCCCTCCAGCTGAGTGGAATGTGCCACATGATGGGCCCATTGACAAGACTTTCTCAGTGACTGCTGCCCCGGAATTGGCCAGAAGGGCAGAGGAAGATGATGAAGAAGAGGAAGAAGAAGAGGAGGCGAGAAGTCACCAGACTTTGGGAGAGAGATGTTGGTTTGAATGCAAGGTCTGTATTTTTTTGGGAGGCCATCGCTAGTAGTAACAGGTGCCTTACTAGTAGTAACAAGAAGCTATTAATTTAATTCTAATAGCTTTTTAATACTACCAGTAAGGCACTTGTTACTACTAGCGATGCACTTGTTACTACTAGCGAACCTTGGTTTGTTTCTTTTTGCAGCCTTTTTGAACCGAGAGTTGCAGGACTTCAGTGTACCCTTTTGGACCGAGATCTGCACATGGTGACTGCCAGGAGGAGGAAGACGAGGAAGTCAAGCCCAAAGCTGTTGAGGTGCCATTGCTCCTTTGCCATTCTCAGAGTGTTCAGAACGGAAGTCGGATTCCACACCAATTGGTCACTCTTCTTTTATTGTTTCTCTCTCTCTCTCTCTCTCTCTCTTCATCATGACATGGTGGTTTTTCACCCCCAAACACGGTGCAAGTCGACAGGTGAAGACCGCTCCAAAGGAGCCTGAGCTGGACTTGACAGGGATGACCCCGGAGGAACGTGAGCTAGCAATACAAGAGGCAGAAGATCGGCGGATTATGGAACAGTTGAAGCAAAGAGAGATGGAACGAAAAAGAAAAGCCGAAGAGCTTCGACTAAAGAAGGAAGAGGAGAAGAAAGCCGTTGAAGTAGTAGAGGAGAAGAAAGTAAAGAAGCAGAAGGATAAAGAGCAGAAAAAGAAGGCCAAAGAAGAAAAGAAGAGAAGGGAAGAAGAACGTTTGCAAAGAGAAAGAGATGAGGAAGATCGTCGTCTCAGGGAGGAGGAGGAGAGACGGCGAAAGAGGGAAGACGACGAGAAGCGCCGTCGAAGAGAAGAAGAAGAGAAGGAGAGAGAACGCCGAAAGCAAGAAGAGCGAGAGCGAGAAGAGCGAGAAGAGAGGCGTCGGCGAGAGCGCGAAGAAGAGGAAAGACGCCGTCGAGAAGATGAAGAGAAACGACGCCAAGAGGAGGAAAGGCGCCGAAGAAAGGAAGAAGAAGAGCGAGTTGAGCGAGAGCGAAAAAGACGCAGAGAGGAAGAAGATCGACGTCGTCGGGAAGAAGAGGAAGAGGAGCGGAGAAGGAAAGAAGAAGAGGAGCGACGCCGCAAGAGAGAGCTTGAGGAAGAAGAGGAACGGAAAAGACGTCGCCTTGAAGAAAAAGAGGAAGCAGAACGGGCACGTCGGAAAGAAGCAGAACGACAAAAGAAGGAGGAGGAACGCCGAAAGCACGAAGAGAAAATGCAGCGAAAGTTGGAAGAACGTCGCAGGCCATTTCCATATATGTGTTTCATTTTGCTTTTCTCAACCTAGTAGCTGAACATCTGTGCAGACATGTATAATGTATATTTATTAGCTGTATAGTTTAGAAGCGATATAGTCTATCGCTACTAGTAACAAGTGCCTTACTAGTAGTAACAAGAAGCTACT